CCAAAAATGTCGTGAGCTCTTTCGAAATTTTTCTTTCCGATGTGATGAGAAGATGGTACAGTTTCAGCCGAAACAATGAAACGAATCTCCGGTGGTTCGGAAGGTACGCTCTCGTCTTCATCAAGTTTGACCGATCGTGCGTTAGAACTTCTTCATCTGTTGAATCATAATTGTGTTTCCTCCGTTACTGATAACGGATCAATCTATTCTAGTACGACCGAAATTCGAAGAGGAAGTCACACCTCCATCATCGTCTAAGGGAAGCAAAAGCGAAGATTCTTCTCATTCCAAAAAACCATTTAGTGCATTTATTGATGCTTCCCGAACTGCAACACCAGGTCCACCACGCGGAGTTGTTTCTCCAACGGCTGTGCAGGTAAGATCGTCTCCCTTAAGAGTTTTGTTTGCTAGATTTTGAAAACAAAGAATATAGTCGTACCGTCGGCACTTTCAGATTTATGAATTTTGGTGTATTTCACTAACGTGAATGACGTTCTTTTAGCCTACCACTATTCGCGCTTCGATGTCATCTCCATCAACGAACGACCACTCTCCAATTCTGGAGCATGCTGTAGGTGTTGTGACTCCAGTGACTGCATCGTATGGCCCCCTCAGTGTCCCTGGAGTTGACTACGACATCGATCCGAAACTTTGGCCGGTATATTCACCATTTCACTTAGCTAACAACTGTTCTGAATACGACTGATTTTACCCTGTTAATGAGCAAAATAATTGTGGAGTCAGATTGAAGTTCAGAAAATGTGGATAAAATAAGCAAAGATTTTCTAGAAAATATGGAGCGGCATTTAGCAGAAAAGTAGAGGCAGTTTTTGCATCCATTGTTTGCGATTAAACTTTAATTTTCTTAGCCTGATGTAGCAGCCCGCTGGGCACAAGCTGTGACGGGATCGGAAACGTGTGCAGCCACATTCCGACGCGAAGAAGTAGACGGTGATGCTATGCTGATGATGGGTTTTGACGACTTACGCAGCCATCTTGCGTTCACTTTTGGCCCTGCCAAGAAGTTACAGCTTGCCATTGAGCAATTAAAGGTTTTTCGCGAACAAATGTATGGCAGGCCATGAATTGCAACACCACATAGGATGAGTTGTTCTGATCTCTTGTGCATTTAACAAACCTTTGGTAAAGGATTATTTACCGCCAGTAGCCCCATTCTCGTGGTCCTTTTAAAGATTATAAATTGCAACTATTGGAAATAGAGGAGCACCGTTATCGAACAGGAATTTTAAGACAATCTAACAGATACATCAAAAGGGTAGGGTCTAATGGCGGTAATTGGTCTCTATCCCAGAACCTTTCGTGTAACCTTGTGAACCGCATAGTAAACAATGCATAGTTATCATTTTCTCGACAAGTTTTTATACATTTCCAGAAATGCTTTTTCAATCCCATGTTATCGTGACATGCATACCCGTAATCCATTTCGTTAACTTGCATGAGTTACTAAGCAAAGAATTTTTAATAACGTTATCCCATTCTTCATTCATTGCTAGACATATCTCATCGTTATATATAATGATAATAATAA